TAATCAATCCAGCTTCGCTGCACTGATTGTGGTGATAATGGGGGGGGGTGTTCCATGATACTAACTTGGTTGCCAGGACTCACCCCAGTGGGAGAAGAGGGTTCTTGGAGAATGGTCTGTGTGCCATAGCGCACTCTAAAATATCTACCACAACTAATAGGACTGCGGAACATTTGCCAAATGAATATGAATAATTGAATGACGTGAAACTCTGTTTTCTCTAACTTCAAAGCCCATGCTCTTTCTATACATCATATAGCCTTCCAAATGTTTCCATTTGAAATAACTGTTTTCATTGCCTCAGTAAGAGAACAGTCTTGTATTACAGTCCTGTATCCCCAGGAAACAGATGGCATACTTAAATTAAGATAGTTTGGAAGTTTCATAAAGGATTATTTGCAACAGTGTGAGCAGGGTGTAGGGAAATTGCAAAGGGGCTACAGTACCCCAAATCTGGTTTTAGAAGGGCTAAGCCTGAAGAGGTAATGGGAGGTGGCAGTTCCAAAACTTAGAAATAGAGAACTAGGTAGAGAAGGCTACATGACAGGAGCTGTGATCTTAGCTAAATGGACTCAGGTGAGCTTGTCACAACCCCACGGGGAAAGAGCTAGAAGATTAAACAGCCTAACCTCACATTTCTACTTCCCTCTAATCTTCGGCCTATGCTACTCATTGGCTGAACCCAACAGAAACCGGCGGTAAGGGGCTCTGTTGACATGCTTGCATGCAGGTCAGCCTCCCAAGCCCGGAGCTGGGTGGATAAAGAGGATGAGGAACTGATCTGAAGAGGCAAACAGGTATCTTGTAGACTGAAAAATAAAAACAAACGTGCAATCAGATCGGAAGTCCAAAAAGATGAGATTTTGAGTGCTCCTAGAGGATCTGGACATGTTTAATTTTCATGTCCTGGGTAAACCATGTTTCTATATATTAAAGTGAATATTTAGCTTAAATCATTAATAATGAGTGCCTCAAGGGTTTTTTGGGGGGTTCACGGCTCTGGACACTCCCTCCCCACACCTACTAGAAGAGCTTTATTATTTGGTTAATACATCAGCATTCTGCTTATGATTTCATTGAGAAAATAGCGCTACAACACCTCCAGATACCGTGCTAAGGACTCAAAAATGAATCACAAACTAGTGGGGAAGACAGAAAAGTAAATAAGTAAGAGTACAGGGTTAGGAAAATGCACAAGTTATGCAGGGAACCAATATTAAGTCCAGTGAACCGAGAAAGGGGAAGAGGTCAAGGAAGACTTCCTGGAATAACTGCAAAGGGCAGGTAAGGAAGTTCCGAAGACAATGACGTTGTCCAGGAGGGAAGAGGAGCCCAACAAGTATTCAATTCGCTAAAAGGGGGGTTACCACCAGGAAAGAATTAGGACCAGTGCACAAGGCTAGGAGGTACGAGGACTCGCTGTGATTGGCAAAGATCTCCGCTCAGCCCTGCCTCCAGCCTTGCTCCGCCCCCATCCCATCCCACCCCATCCCATCCTCAACCCAAGGGGCGCTACATTTCAGCAATTCCACTCAGCTGGGAGGGTATCCCAAGCCTAAAACCCGCGTCTCCAGCTGGGACGGCGGCTGCCGAGTCTCCCAGAATAGCTCCTGTTTCCCGGAGGTCTTCGGGTTAGCGCGGCCCGGCCGGGGAGCTGTCAAGGAGAAGGCGCTCATTGGTTGCCGTAATGGTGATCCGAGAGGCTGGGGAAGGCTGATTGGCAGGTTTTGTTTTGTTTTTTAGCGCCGACCACGCCCATCTCCTCTACTCCGGGTAACCGGCTCAGGGCCCAAGGCCTCATGGGTAGTTTGGGCGTGTGGCTCCGACCTGTACTGGGAGACAAGGCGTCGGCTTTAGCTGGGAGGGAGCCCAAGGCGAGGTTAAAGCCTGAGGGCGGGTTGAGCTGGGACCACAGCTAGAATTTCTGGGTTCCCTACCCACATTTTCAGGCCCTGGGCGCGCGCCCTCCCACGACAAGTGGATTTGCATCTGGATATGCGAGAGGGCTGGGACGGGACGCGCGTTTCAGAGTGATCGTTGAATTCTGGCTGTTGCATTCACATTGGTTTTCGCGGTCCCTGGGGGCTTCTCATGTGCCTCCGGGGTCCAGGGACCAGGGCCGAGGCTGCGGCAGGGAAGACGGCCCGGGCGGTGGCTTCTCGCGCGAGAGCGCCGCCCGCGCCGAACAGCTCCTCCCCTCCCCGCCCGCGTCCCCGCCCGTCCAGGGTCGGTTCGTGCCAGGCGCCCAGTCCTCCCAGGGCCTTGGATGAGAAAGTGCTCGCCCTTGAGAAGACAGTTTTATTTTAGGTCGCTCAGCCTGATTTTACAGCATTCCCGGCCATGCTCACCATCCGCCATAAACGTTGAAAGCATTTCAACGACGAATCAGGTAGCTCCTTACGGCCTGGAATTACTTGTCCCTGGCTAGCCGTACCCCACCCCTCGCCGCCCCGCTCCACTTTACAATTCACTGCTTATTCTTCAAGGCTTAGTTCTAATACCATCTCTCCCGTAGAAAGCCTGCTCCATGCTTTGGGACAGTTATTCAATTACATCCTTAGGAGTGTGGGCTCTGGAATTGGTGCGGGAGTTAGAAATGCCTTTTTGAAATGTGTGATTTTGAGCAAATTGCTTAACCTCTATGAGCCTCAGTTTTGCATCTCAAAATGGAGGTAATCTGGTACTTAAAGGGTTTTGTGAAGATTAAATGTAGAACTGTTAGAACATAAGTGCTTGATAAACGTGAGCTTTTATTATCTGTCCTCCCAGTGTACTTTGTATAGGCCCCTTATAACGTTTGCTCTTTCTATTACCATTATTTGTTCTTGCCTGCCCTATTAAACTTTGAGCTTAAAAGCCCAGACTGTCTTGTTTATAATGTAAGCGTACAACAGCGTTGGGCAAATGTAAAGTGAAGAAATTGCTTGGAAAACTTTTTTAAAAGCACCCTTTCCTTTTTCTTTCTTTTGTTTCCTTTTTTTCTTAAAGGCTCTTTGAGACGGGAATTCTCAAACTTGGAGAAGAAGTTGAGATCCTAGGGGGAATAATAAGCACTTCTTTTGTTCTCCATGGTAACCAAGTGTGGACCAAGAAGGCCCTACTATTCCCTTTTCTGCTTGACAACTTGAGACTGGTTTCATCTTAAGTAGAGGCCCCTGGCCTCCCTTTTGTCAGACAATTTATTTTAGAAACTTGTAATTGCCAATCTTTTTCTTGCCTCTTTTTAAATGTATATGAATCTCCTTTAAAGCCTTTTGCCAGTTTCAAGACCCAGGGAAGGTCCTTCTCAATGACCTGGGAGCCATCCCTTTGAAATGTAATCCTCAGGAAGATGGCGTTCCTATTTCCTAGTCTCTATAGAAGGATAGGAGCCCAACATCAATGGGCTCCTTGCTCCAGTTGCAAAACTACAACCTGTAAGCTTACTTCTTTGAGTAAGACCAGTCACCACACACAGGTGGCCCTACGGCAGCTCTTAATAACTCTCTAGCCGCTTGTTTCAGTAGAGCTGAGTTCAATTTCCTATTGCAATAGTCTTAAATAAAGTCTTTCCTGTTTAACTTTGCCTATTTAATTTGCCTGGTGTAATTTCTCTTTGATAATGAAAATTTTATGTTCTACACTTATTGTTTCTTCTCAATTACACTGGCGTTTCATTTCTTCTTTGCTGCTGACTGAGAAGGCCTTCTCACGTGTCCTCGGATATCTACAGATTAACCAATTTGGATTCAAAAGATTAGAACTTTGTGGAGTGAAGCTACCACTTTAAAGTCATTGCAGAAGGTAGTGTGATGTGTATGATGTGGAAAGGGTAGTACATCTATTTGAGGGAATCCTAACTGAGGTGCATTTATCTTATGGAAGTGGCACCAGAAAAGAAAGAATAGACCTGTCCCCCTTTTTGTTTTTGTTTTTTTTTTAAGATTTTTAAAAATTTATTTGAGAAAGACAGCGACAGAGATAGTGAGAAAGCACAAATGGGAAGGAGAGGGAGAAGCAGGCTCCCTCAGTAGGGAGCCTGATGTGGGGCTGTACCCCAGGACTCCAGGATCATGACCTGAGCTGAAGGCAGATGCTTAACTGACTGAGCCACCCAGGCGCCCTTGACCTGTCCCCTTTTCTATTATTATGAAAGGGGCATGAGAAAAAAATGCAATTTTCAAAGAAAGGATGGCTAAAAATATAATCCCCTCTCAAGGGACAGTAACTGTGGTTGAGGAGAGAAGCTAGAGGAAGTGAGAGAGGTGAGGGTTGCAAATGGAAAGGCTTCTGCAATGGTACAGGTAGTGTGGAGAGGTGTTCCTTAAAGTACAGGGAATGAAATGTATCCATATAAGATGGGAAGTAAGGTGCAATAGGATTGAGTTGGAATGAAATGAAAGATAGTTGGGAAAAAAGGCAGACAGTAGGGAGAGGGGAGTTAATTGGGAGTCTATACCAGGGAAGGAAACTAGTAGACTGAGCAGCTTAGCAGAGGCATTGACTACTTGGATCAGAAGGGAAATATCAAGCAATCATGCTACCTAGGAAACTAGAAGATTTAGGAGAAGGGGTTTGAAACACTAGCCTCTCTCACCTTCCTTTCCTCAACAACACACAAGCATAAACTTAAGCTGAATGCATTATTATGGTGGCAGTTTAATACCATTACAAGTTCTCCCCCATGGGCTAGTGGAGGCTAACATACGGAGTTCAGGCTGACGATCTTTTTCATTTTCTTCTTTTCTCTGACTTTTCTTAATATCAACACTGTTCCCTAATTTCCTTTTTCTTAACTTTTCCCGCTTTTTCTTATGTAGAGGTGGGGTGGTTGAAGGTGGATTCAGGATATGAGAGTGGAATTTGAGAAAGAATAGAAGACTAAAATGACAAGTTGAAAGAGAAGAAAACTTTACTTCTAAATGTATATGCAAAACTCAGGCTGGGAATAGAGTGTAAAAGTACTGTATAAATAAAATGAAATGGAATTAAGTACATATATGTCTTTATAAGATCCTGTTTTGACAACATAGAAGAAAAAAGTAGGAAAGTCTCAAATTATCCTGAGAAAGGATCAAGAGAAAACAACACTTGAAGTGAAATCAGACAGATGAGCATTAGACATCAACATAATCTTCCAGGTCTGATGCTAGTAGGAAGAAAACTATGAATGCTCTTTCCTAGAGCCTTTCAGCATTGGAGAGTTACCCAGTTGTCAGGGCTGGGGGGAGGAAGCTGCTCTTCCAGGAGGCTTCCCCCTAGACAGACTCTGTCTTGGCCAGGCTGGTCCTCCCAAGGGCCCTCACCATGGCCCCCTTCATTTCCTTGTTTTGAAAACTATAGATGATGGGGTTGCACATGGGGGTGATGATGGTGTAGAGGAGGGAGAAAGGCTTGTCTTTTTCAGGGCCATGTGTGCTGCGAGGGTTCATATAAGAGAATATGGCTGAGGTGTACAAAAAGATGACCACAGTCAGATGGGAAGCACAAGTGGAGAAGGTCTTTCCACGACCTGAGGAGGAGGCTCTGCCAAGGATGGAGGCCAGGATGCGTGCATAGGAGATGACAATGAGCACCATGGGGCTGAGCAGCACCACGATGGCATCGGCAAAGATCACCCTCAGACTAAACTGGGGGTCTCCACAAGAGAGAGTGATCACTATGGGGGCCTCACAGAAGAAGTTTTCTATGTGGTTGTCTCTACAGAAGGGATTCCGGAATGACATATACTCAAGAAAGATGCCATTGATCAGCCCAAAGAACCAGGCAGTACTTACCAGCTTCACACAAACCTGCCCGCTCATGATCTGGGCATAGCTGAGTGGGTGGCAGATAGCAACATAACGGTCATAGGCCATAAAAGCTAAGAGAATGCACTCAGCCACACCCATACAGAAAACCAAGTACATCTGGGTTGAGCAAGAGACAAAGGAGACAATGTGGTTCTTGACCACCAGGTGGATCAGCATCTGTGGCATGGTGGTGGTGATGAAGCAGACATCCAGGAAGGACAGGTGGCCAAGGAAGAAGTACATGGGGCTGTTGAGCCTGGGGTCTGTCCAGGTGATGAAGATGATGAGGCCATTCATGGCCATGGCAAGGCTGTAGAGGGCTAGGAAGAGGGCAAAGATCAATGCCCGAGTGAAAGAGGAGCTCTGCTCAAAGCCCACGAGGATAAACTCTGTCACTGTGCTGCCATTCCTTAGGTCCACTGTCTTGGACCTGCTTGAGGAGGGAGGACAGAAAAGCACAGGTGAGATAGTTGTAGGGGAATGTAAGGTACTCACTTGGGCCCAGAGATCCAGCTGTAAAAGAACAATGAGTGGTGGTAAACATCTTGGAACTTTAGTAAACTATGTAATTGGCAATGTTGTGGGGCAGTGAAGATGCCAGGGTCACCATAGGCAGCATACATGGAATTGTAATATCAAAAATTGAGGAAGCAATGGTTATACTTTGTTCTGGTTTGGTCAGGCCTCAAATGAAGTACTGCGACTGCTCCAGGCCCCTCAATATTGAAGGATTAGCCACTAACCAAAATGTGTTCAAAGGTGTTAAACTAAGATGGTTGGGCCTGGAACCCATGCCAAATGAGGAAAGAAAGGTTTAAGAAATTGAGGAATGGAGTATTTGAGGGAAGAGCATGGTGGCTGTTAGCGTATAGAAGATCATATTTAGGAAGCACTTGGGAGATGTTTAAAGACATATTTTTCTAGAAGAAAGAAATGCTCAGTGTAGTATATGTATTTAAAATAATGGGTTGAGGGACGCCTGGGTGGCTCAGTCGGTTAAGCATCTGCCTTCGGCTCAGGTCATGATCCCAGGTCCTGGGATCGAGTCCCACATCGGGCTCCTTGCTTGGCAGAGAGCCTGCTTCTCCCTCTACCTGCTCTGCCTGCCGCTCCCCCTGCTTGTGCTCTCTCTCTCTGACAAAAAAAAATAAATAAAATCTTAAAATAAAATAAAATAAAATAATGGGTTGAAGTTTCAGAGGAAACAGTAATATTCTAGCCTTCAGCATTGCCCCTTAGGTGAGAATGATTTGCATACCTCTGGGAACAGCCATGCTTACCAGTCATCCACCCTCTTTCCAGACTCCCTCTCCCAGTGGTTGATGCTGCTGTATCCACCATCCATGCAGTGCATGCTGGAGATGGGGCCTCGTTGTGAGCTCTCACATGCTTTCCCAATAGAAGACAGTTTTTCTATAGGGGCTGGAACTTAGGGCTAAGCACTTTTGGGTGGAAAGGATGCAACCCTTGCTGTGAGACAAAGGAAGCTATGAGCAGCGCACAAATTCAGCCTTTCTGGAATGGACCTTCAGAAAACTTTGATCTGTCCCTTTGCTTCCAGGATAAGTCTTGTTCTTTTCCCATAATCAGAGAATGAGCATTCAGAATTCTCATGTTCTTTTCTCATTATTATAACTTTTAGGAAGTCATTATGTTCATATTAAATCTCTCTTGTACTCTTCATCTTGTCTTGGAGTTAGATATCAGATCCCTTCCACTTTCAGATGCTTATAGATGGTTAGTATATTCCTTCTTAACCTTCAGTTCTGCCAACCACTCTTCTTTGTTTCCTTTTCTCTCACTCCTTTTTCTACACACTCTTACTCTACGCCCTCTGGGAGTCTTTCCCCCTCCTTTCTCCCACTTCCACTTCTCACTCTTTTCTTCTTCCTCTCCTTTTCTCATATTTGGTGTGGCTGTCTGCCATTCAGCTACCTCTGGTTGACTCCCCTCTCTTTTCCATGTCTTTAAGCATCTCATGTTGCCTATCTTAATTTTAGAAGAGACCTACCCATTGACTGCCACTCCTTTCCACATTAGATTCCCTGTAGGTGATTTCCTGATAGGTCAAGGCAATAGGCCATTCCCATCATCTGACTTTGGAACGCTCCCCTAGAACTTGTACCTAGAACTTCTCCTCTTCGAGGCCCATAAAGTGCAGGGAAGATCAGAGAGCAATGTTTAACCCCAGAAGTGGCCTGGAATCATGGGCCCAATGGACATGTTGGGGTTAAGGTCAGAGTTTGGGCAAGGGAAGGCAGTGAGCTATGCTCCAGACAAGTCTGGGGCTTGTCCAAGAAGAAACTAAAGTTCAACCTAAGAAAGCAGTAGGATTTATAGGAGTATATAAATGCTTATTGTGGTCCACTGTGCCAGAAAGAATACTCCATGATACCTGGCATCTAGTGCCCTGTTAACCACCGGGGTTAATCAGTCAAGCATTTGCATAAATAAATAGGACAATGACTTGAAAATCACATCCTACCTCATTCTGTTGCTTGGCTGGTGATGATGTTTATCACTGAATCACCGCAGCAAAAAATAGAGAAAATCCCATGGTGTTTGAAGAACTGGTCCAGGGAGGATGGTCTGACCTGGTGGGCCACTCTGGAAGAGAGTTGTGATGATGGCCTCGTTAGTTCTTCAACGTCCATACCATAGATGATGAATGTTTACTTAAATAATAATACTAAGTTACTTACGTACTGCACTTTAACTGTCACATATTCCACTTGTTAATAAGCTTACTTGCTCCCACTTTTTCAGTGTATGTTTTGACCTTCTCAGGACTTTTAATTTTGTCCCAGTGCTAATTGAATTTTAGCCCCTTGACTTGAAAATCACATGCTCTCTTAATTGTTACTTGAAGAAAACACCAGCAAGAAAATAAGAAAACATTCATACTCCTTTAGCTGCAGACAATCTCATATTATTCTATAACATAAAACATATCCTTGCAATTGTTTCTGACAAAGAATTTTCTGAGACTGGACATCAGAAATTGTTGCTATGCTCTAAACCTAATTGTGAACCTCTAAAGTATCATTTTTATTGGTGGCCTTAATCATGGCCATCGTAATATTTAAATTGATATCTCTGTTTTCAGAAAGATATATATATATATATATATATATATATATATATATATATATATATATATATATACACACACACACATACTTGTGAGATTTCTCTGTTAAACCAGAAGAGGATCATGGGATTTTCTTCTGCCCAGGGTACAGATATAAATAACCACCTACGATCCCTTGGACTTCTTGTTTAAAGAGTCAAGGGTCTGTAATCTCATTTAAATTAACAATAATTTATAAAGTAGTTCACACATGCCATTATTTTTTATTGTAATTTAAGGATATAATTTAATCTCATTGAAGAACCTCTGTTATGTTGGACAATGTAGTTGAACACAGTTTGGCAAGGAGAGAGGAATAGGGAATAAGTTTTCAGCTGTGGGTCTAGACTGGCTTCAGAGTTGACTTACTGTTCTGATTCCTTTTAGAACCACTTGCAAGGAAAATAGAACTGTTCCAAAGTTCCAAGAGCCTCTCACCAGAGCAGTGATTTGTGTTGGAGGGGCAGCCAACATGAAGGTGGAAGTAGGACTGTTTTAATATCTTACACCCTATGGTTAACTGTAGACTTAATGGGGTTAGAGAACACAATGCTAGATACTGTTAGGGGCGGGGTAGGTAGGGAATAAGTTCTTCCACATTCCTGATGTTTCCTTCCACATGGATAGATTGTGATAGCATAACCCTCTTGACCTTTCTCTTCCTCATTCAGACCGTCCCATGGGGAGTGAGTGGCTTACCAGATTGGTGATTTTAGAAGGAGAAACCGAGCCTGTGTTTTCTATCCCTTTCCTCTCACCTTCCCCTTGGGAGGGAGTGGCCTTCTCCAGGGCAGGGTCTACCCCTGTTTGGGGAGGCTTTGTGGCAGTACGGTCCTGCCAGTTACAGGGGAATAGGTTTGTCTGTCTAACTCTCTGCTTCTGGATTAGGAAGTCCAATTGCTGCAGTGTCTGCTTTGTTATTAGTAAAGGTGATGTTTTAACCTCCACCTGCAGACTCTGTCTTATTTCTCAGATGATTCAGAGCCAGATGAGAAGAGCAGTGTTATTTACTGGACCCCTCAAAATCCCTAACAATTATTATTAGTGATATAATCACATATATGGAAATAAAATTTTAACAAAAATGTGATAGAGCTTTGATTACAACGACAAGAAACCATTAGTCACAGTGATGTCCGGGCAGATCCTGAGAGGGAAGAGTTCTGCTGATACAGGTATGCTGAATGCTCAAGGTATAGGGCTGGTGAGTTCAGGGAGAGAAGCGTACATTCCTTGACCACAGGAGCACAATGAACAAAGTGTGCTATTGTAGACTAGACAGGTGGGAAAATGTCTTATTGTAATGTTAAGATTCTGATTCCTGTCATGTTTACTGAAGAGGAGCAGGACACTGTTGAATACCTTCAACAGTTGGCCACAATGTTCCTGTAGCTTTCCTAGCATGCTATGGCCACAGGAAAGAAAATATAATACAGCACTGTATCATTCATTTATTCTGGAGAGTATGTTTGTTTTAGGAATGAGATTGGCTCACTTAAGTTGTAAACGAACTCATCAGCCTTGTTTAAATCATGTAGATTCTTAGAAAGCTTCAGCTTCTGGGAGGCTTGGCTATCTTCTTGCAGGTCTGCTGTAAATAAAATGTGCCTTTAGTAATTTCAAATCTAACACAGCTTGAAATCTGTTTCTCTTCTGCATACTCTAATCCCTTCCTTTTTTGGATTAAATACATAATTTCATGACTTGAAAGCCAAAAACCATTATTTTTCTGAGCAGAAAAACTTTATGGTGGATATATTTATCCTGAGGTTCATGGAGCTCTAGGGAGTCAGAAGATAAGTTTCAGTTTGTCCAGGCATCTCTGAAATGTTGTATGAAAACATGTGTGCATGACAGCATTTTTCTTGAGAGTAAAATGAAGAAAAACATATTTGTTGGTGTGGTTGGTGTGAAGATTAGGAGGAAATTTATTCAATCAAAAATGTGCGTGTGTATGTAAATATGTTTATATGTAAATCACATAGAACAGTATTTGTAGTAGGGAAAGTGCTCAACAAATCTAGCTTCCTTTTCTAGGTCACTGAATAAATAAAAAATATTAGTTAAGACATTTACTTTTTTTTTTTAAGATTTTATTTATTTATTTGACAGAGACACAGCGAGAGAGGGAACACAAGCAGAGGGAGTGGGAGAGGGAGAAGCAGGCTTCCCAAGCAGAAGGCAGATGCTTAACGATGGAGCCACCAGGCACCCCAAGACATTTACATTTTTAAATGTCATTAATCCTCGGGGTGCCTGGGTGGCTCCGTCGTTAAGTGTCTGCCTTTGGCTCAGGTCATGATCCCAGGGTCGGGGGATCAAGTCCTGCATCAGGGTCCTTGCTCAGCGGGAAGCCTGCTTCTCCCTCTCCCACTCCCCCTGCTTGTGTTTCCTCTCTCGCTGTCTCTCTCTCTGTCAAATAAATAAATAAAATCTTTAAAAAAATAAAAATAAATGTCAATCCTCAAAATGCCTGAAGCCTTTAAAAAACTGAAGCTGCAAATTAAAAATGTATTTCTAAGCATTGTTAAGTTCTGGTAGAGCATGCAGTACAGTTGAGGGTAGAGATATTTTACAATTTCACTGTACTATGATATGGATAAGAGCTCTAGTAGGGCATCAATAAAATACTGCGGTATCTCAGAGTAATGAAATAATGAAATACTCAAGGAAAAAGTGTGTAAGAAGAAAAAACATCAACTCCAGAAAAAATAGCTGCTTAATGACTGACAGATTCAGAGGTTGTTCTTGGAAAAGTGCTTTTTTTTTTTTTTAAAGATTTTATTTATTTATTTGACGGAGAGACACAGCGAGAGTGGGAACACAAGCAGGGGGAGTGGGAGAGGGAGAAGCAGGCTTCCCGCCGAGCAGGGAGCCCGATGCGGGGCTCGATCCCAGGACCCTGGGATCATGACCTGAGCCGAAGGCAGACACTTAATGACCCAGCCACCCAGGTGCCCCAGAAAAGTGCATTTTTATAAAAGAAAAAATGGCCAATGTAAGCAGAAACATGGATTAAGCCCAGAAAGTCTGAAACTGAAAGTTAAAATTATACCCAAACTTTGAAAAATACTTTAAGAGGTACAAAGTGGCCCTAAAAAGATGTTCTTTTAGTAAATTGAATTATTAGTAGGTTTATGATTATTGTGATATAAAGGATAGAGTCAGTGATGAAAACCAGTTTCTCTTCAATATTTAGTAAGGAAGATAGAAATTCCTGTCCC